TGCAGCACCTAACGTACGTTTGTGCTCAGCTGTGCTTCAGGAGCGAGCTGTCTGCTCCGGCTCACCCCTGCAGGGATGTTTCCTCCTTTCTTGCATCTTTTCCATCAATTCTGTTCTTCCCAAGGTTTTTTTTTTTGGTAGGCAGCCCGTGTCTGCAATGTCTGCCAAGGGAAAGCACGTTCTCCCGGAGCCGTGCAGAGCCCCGCGCTGCCCGTGCCCACCCGGCAGCATCTCCTGACCGCATCCCTCTGGCTCTTGCAGAGTTCGCCGTTTCGCTCGTGGAGAAGATGCAGGCTCAGGACATCCTGCGGAGCCTGCGGCTCCCTGAGTTCGATGACCTCAGCCAGTTTTTCCGCAACCTGCCGGCCACGGCGCTGGTGGGCATCGGTGCCTTCGCCGCCGTCGTCGCGTACTGGTTCGCCAGCCGGCCCAAGGCTGTGAAGCCGCCCTGCGACCTGCGGATGCAGTCGGAGGAAGTCGAGGTGAGGCTGGGGGAGAGGTTGGGTTCCACCCGCGGTTCACTTGGAAATGACCGTAGGGGATGCCAGGAGATGCTCTTGTTGGGTTTGAGGGCTCCCCACCCTCATCCTGAAACCAGTCACGTAATGTGCTATGATGCTTCAATCCTTAATTCATCTTTTTCTGTAAACTGGAAAAGTAGAATACAGCCCATTAATCTGTTCTCTACTATTTTCAGTGACATTTTGGTCTTGGCTTTGCTTAACTATCCATGGCCGAAAATTAGAGGAGCTGCCATTGCATGGGGGAAACCCCTGAAAGGCAAAGGCTGATAAGCTCAAATAGCTCAAATCAGTTGTCACTCCTTGTGTGTGCCTGTTACTGCTCCAGACTCAGTAATAATAGGAAAAGGTAGACCCAAATCCATGCTTAGAGTCTGAGGAGTTATTAATTTTCATGCTTGTGAGAAGTTTTAAAGTTTAATGTAGCTGCTCCATTTTAAAGAGCAGAAATATTTCTGAAATTAATATCTGAAAGTGTGATGAGTATTTTTAAAGCTTTTTGTGATGTTCCCTCTAAAACCATATTGTCTTTAAAAACTTTATTGTCTTTAATTCCAACAACTTTTTAAATGGGTGGGAGGAATCTACATTTTCCAAGACAATTTTCTCGTGTGGTCAGGGCTTTAGTGACACTTTGTTCTGGCTCACAGCGCAGTCCTGAGTCCATCCCTCTCGCCCCTTGCCTACTCCTAAAACACCCCAACTGAGCCCACCCTGGGGTCTGGAGTCTGGCCGGTGCTTTAGTCCTTTAGTCCTTTAGCCTTGGCGTTGGTCTGGGTGTCCTTGAGAAGGTGTCCGTGGTACCGGTCCTGGTGTCCTGTGGAGCCCAGAGCAGTTGCTTCACCAGCACATCCCCACTCCATCACTTGCAGATTTATAATTTCTCCTCAAATTTCCTTGGGAAATATCAACCATCACCTGTGGCAACGAGCCGGGTCAAGTGCTCCTCTCCGGGCAGGTGGTCCTCCATTCACTGGGGTGCTGGGGTGGATGAATCACCTCTCCTGTCCCCTTTGGGTGTTGGGGCAGGAACATGGTGGTGGATGCAGAGGTCTCTCCAGCACTTGGGTTCAGGATTTTCTCACCTCCCACCCATCAGGTGGTGCTGATGTCCATGTCACATCGTGTCACGTCATGTCACACAGGGCCTGGCCGGGGCACGCCGGTCGGTGATCGGGGACAGCCCACAGCTGCTGACGCACTACTACGATGACGCCAGGACCATGTATGAGGTCTTCAGGAGGGGATTCAGCATCTCTGGTGAGAGCATGGTGACCAGGAGTCCTGGGACCTGGGAGCAGAGGTGGGGAGAGGTGGAGGACCAGGTGATACAGAGACCCAAAGGGTGTAGGGGCCCATTCGGACTCAAAGGCGAAAGGAGCATGGGAGGCCACTGGAACATGGGGAGGCACGAAATTGTGGAAGTCAAGAGAGTGAGAGGCTGAAAGAAGCACAAATAGTGAAAAGGCTGAAAAAGTGTAGGAGGCACAGAGAGTGTAGAAAGTTAACTGTGTCCCAGCCGAAACCAGGACAGAGGGCAGAAGAGTTGAGGCCAAAAATGTGTGGGAGGACCAAGCAGAGGGGGAGGACCCATGACTGTTGAGGCCAAAGACTGGGAGGCATGAGCGTTGAGGCCCAAAGGGTGTGGAAGACCTGACAAATGTAGAGGCTGATAAAGGTGTGAGAGGCCAATGAAGTGTAGAGGCTGAAAAAGGAGGAGGCCCAGCAAGGGGCAGGGTGGGCACTGCTTTTGGGGGTTATTATTTTCAATGTGCATTATTTTGCCCTTAATGCTATTGAACTTTGCTGTGCAACCTCTTGGTACCACGAGATCTTTTTGCCACCACTGGCAGACAGCTTTACGTCCTGAATTTTGCAGCATCAGCAGAGCTCCTCCTACATTATTCATTTCCATTCATTTATGAATACATTAAACAGGACTGATCCGGGCACAGAACTGTGGAACCCAACGGAGCTCCTCCTTTGCTGCAAACGCTGATGCTTATTTCTGCTTGTTGCTGCCTTTTCATCAGTAACTCATCCAGCGTATCTCTTACTCCACAACAGGGCAGGGTGAGGGACTCTGCCAAAAGCTCTTAGGAAAGCTGAGTGCAGTGTATCACTCCATCGCCCTTAGCCCATGACTGATGGTATGGTCAAAGAGCTCTCCCACACTTGTGAGACATCATTTCCCATTCCAAAAAGCCACGATGACTCTTCCCTCCTCCATCATAACTATTTCTGTGTCCGCTGCTTACGATGTCCCACCTCGTTGAACACACCAATTTCATTGTCAGATGATTATTCTCAGTACCCCCAAAAGCCCCAGTGGAATTGCAAATATTCCACCCCACAGGGTGGGTGTAAAGAAATAACTCAATAGGTGCATGAAGGGATGGATCTTGTGCCAGTAAGCACAGTTAGCAAATTAATTAAACTTCTCAAATATTCCTCCTGTCACGTCGTGCTGTGTATTGTCTTACCCTCCTCCAGAGCAGGCTGTGCTAAAAATAGCAGCTTTCACTTTGAAGTGTTCAAATCAAAAGGCAGCGAAAGCAGTGGGAGGTGGTGTTTGGGATGCAAGCCCTCATCAGACGCTGATGCTCACGCTGGAAGTGGCTTTGAATGGGGGCAAACTGTGGCCCAGGGAGAACTGAAGGGACTGTTTGGGAGATCCCAGCAGCTGCTCTTCCATTAGCTGCTCTCATGTTAATTGGATAGGGCTTGCTGTGAGCTCTGCCAACCCCGATAACAACGGATTTACTCTTTGGGGGCTCCGCTGCATCCCCGCAGCGTGGTGCTGGGCAGCGTGTTAACTCCTGGCGCTGTCCCCCCATAACCCCGTCATCTCTGTTTGTGTCTTCCAGAGAACGGCCCCTGCCTGGGGTTCAGGAAGCCCAAGCAGCCCTACCAGTGGCTGACCTACAAGGAGGTGAGCTGGAAATGACCCCCCCC